CTTCATGATCTCTTATAAGGCAGGTCTGGTGGCAATGAAATCTCTCAGCATTTGCTTGTCCATAAAGGATTTTATTTCTCCTTCACTTATGAAGCTTAGTTTGGCTGGATATGAAATTCTGGGTTGAAAGTTGTTTTCTTTATGGATGTTGAATATTGGCCCCCACCCTCTTCTGGCTTGTAGGGTTTCTGTCAAGAGATTTGCTATGAGTCTGTTGGACTTCCCTTTGTGGGTGACCCAACCTTTCTCTCTGACTGCGTTTAGCATTTTTTTCTTTATTCAACCCTGGTGAATCTGACAACTATGTGCCTTGTGTTGCTCTTCTTGAGGAATATCTTTGTGGTGTTCTTTGTATTTCCTGATTGGAATGTTGGCCTGCCTTGCTAGGTTGGGGACGTTCTCCTGAATAATATCCTGAAGAGTGTTTTCCAGGTTGGATTCATTCTCCCCATCACATTCAGGTACACCGATGAAGCGTAGATTAGGTCTTTTCGCATAATCCCTTTCTTGGAGGCTTTATTTCTTTTCACTCTTTTTTCTCTAATCTTGCCTTCTTGTTTTATTTCATTGAGTTGATCTTCAATCTCTAATATAGTTTCTTCTGCTTGATCAATTGAGCTATTTAAACTTGTGTATGCTTCGCAAAATTCTCCTGCTGTGTTCTTCAGCTACATCAAGTCATTTATCTTCTTCTCTAAGCTGGTTATTCTAGTTAGCATTTCATCTAACCTTTTTTCAAGGTTTTTAGTTTCTTTGCATTGGATTAGAACATGTTCCTTTAGCTCAGAGAAGTTTGTTATTACCCATCTTCTGAAGCCTACTTCTGTCAGTTCTCAAACTATTTCTCCATCCTGTTTTGTTCCCTTGCTGGTGAGAAGTTTTGATCCCTTGGAGGAGGAGAGGCATTGTGGTCTTTTTGATTTCATCCTTTTTGTGCTGGTTTCTTCCTATCTTTGTGGGTTTCTCTACCTTTGATCTTTGAAGTTGGTGATTTTGGATGGGGCCTCTGAGTGGACATTTTTTGTCAATGTTGATGTGATTTCTTTTGTTTTTTTTTCAGTTTTCCTTCTAACAGGCCCCTCTGCTGTAGGACTGCTGGAGGTCCACTCCAGCCCTTGCTTGCCTGGAAATCACCCACAGGGGGTATAAAGCAGTGAAGGTTACTGCCTGATCTTTCCTCTGGTAACTTCATCCCAAATAGTTGCCTGCCAGGTGTCAGCTTTAGCTCTTATTTATGAGGCATTTTTTTGGTTATTCAGGGGTCAGGGAACCACTTGAGGAGGCAGTCTGTCCCTTGTCTGCCTGCAGAGGCACTGCTGGGCTGCCTCGGACTCAGCCCCGCTGCTGTGTAGGCTTCCTCTGGCCTTTCTAATCTCACACAGGTGAGATTAGACCTGCCTTTGCAATGGTCGATGCCCTTCCTCCCACCAAACTCGATTGTCTGAGTGGAGCTTGGACTGATGTGCTGGCTGCGAAACTCTCAAGCAAGAGTACTTCAGTTTGCTGGTCTTTTTGAGGATGGGACCTGCCAAGCCATATCACCTCTCTCCCTGTTTTCATCTCTCCCTCTTCCTGGTAGAATCATCCCACAGGCACTCTCAGAGCTGGGCAAAATTTCCACCCAGATCTGTGCTGAGAACTTGCAGCACCAGGCCAGCTGGAGCTGTTGCTCTGATCTGTGTTGGTAACTCATGGTGCCTTTCAGCCTGGCGGCATTCTCCTGGACTGTGGGTTGCAGTGGCCGTGGGATATGCGCAGTATCCGAACTGGAGTTCTGAGGGGGTAAAGTCCCCTATCCTCTGTCCATTTGCACTTCCCTGGTGGGGGAGCGCCCTTCCCTGCCTCGGTTTGCCCTCCTTGGGCTACACCCACTGTCCAGGCAGTCCCATTGAAATGAACCTGGTACCTCAGTTGGAAATGCGGATATTATTTACTTTCTGTGTCTCTCTCGCTGCGAACTGCGCTCTGGAGCTGTTCCTATTCGGCCATCTTGGCGGAAGTCTATCTACTTCCCACCTTTAAGTGAAAACTTGCAATATTTGGTTTTATTTCTATATGAATTTGCTTAAGATAATGGCCTCCAGCATAATTTATCAGCTGCAAAGGACATGATTTCATTCTTTTTTATGTCTGCACAGTATTCCATGGTATATATGTACCATATTTTCTTTATTCAGTCAGCTGTTAAAACACACCTGGATTGAATCCATGTCTTTGTTACATGAATAGTGCTGTAATAAGCCTATAAATGCAGCTGTCTTTTTGGTAAACTGATTTATTTTCCTTTGGCTATATACCCAATAAGGGGATTACTGGATCAAATGGTAATTCTATTTTTAGTTCTTTGAGAAATTTCCAAACCGCTTTTCACAGGACCTGAGCTATTTGGCACTCTCTCAGTGTGTAAGTGTTCCCTCTCTCCACAAACTCGTTAGCATCTGTTACTTTTTGACTTTTTAATAATAGTCATTCTGACTGTTGTGAGGTGGTGTCTTTTGTGGTTTTGATTTGCATCTCTCTGATGGTTACTGATGTTGAGCATTCTTTCATATGTTTCTTGACCACTTATATCTTCTTTTGAGAAGTGTCTGTTCATGTCCTTTGTCTAATTTTTAATGGAGTGATTTTTTTTTCTTGTTAGTTTAAGTTTCTTACAGATTCTGGATATTAGTCCTTTGTTGGATGCATATTTTGCCAATATTTTGTCCCATTTTGTAGGTTGTCTGTTCATTCTGTTGATAGTTTCTTTTGCTGTGCAGTAGCTCTTTGGTTTAACTGGGCCTCAATTTTCAATTTTTGGTTTTGTTACATTTACTTTTGAAGACTTAAGCGTAAGTTATTTGCCTAGGACAATGTCTAGAAGGGTATTTCCTAGGTTTTCTTCTAGGAAGAAAGATTTTCTTTTAGTTTGAGGTCTTACATTTAAGTCTTTAATTCACCTTGAAATTTATTTATTTATTTTGTCTTGAGATGTAAGAGTCCAGTTTCATTCTTCTGCATATTGTTAGCTAGTTTTCCTGGCTCATATATTGCATAGGGTATCTTTCCCCATTATTTATTTTGTCAATTTTGTTAAAGAACAATTGGTTGTAGATGTGTAGCTTTATTTCAGGGATCTCTATTGTGTTTCATTGGTCTGTATAAACCACATCTTGAACAGGGCTCTGTTTATTCATTTTTTATTCTTTCTTTTTTTTTTCTGTAAGATTATTGACTCAAAGTCTTATAACTGGTGCAACTTACTGCTATTAATTATCTTTTTTTTCTTTTTTGAAATGGAGTCTTCTTCTGTCACTGGGCTGGAGTGTAGTGTGAAATCTTCATTCACTGCAACCACCACCTCCTGGGTTCAAGCGATTCTTCTGCCTCAGCCTCCTGAGTAGCTGGGACTATAGGCACATGCCATGAGACCCAGCTTTTTTTTTTTTTTTTGTATTTTTCAGTAGAGATGAGATTTCACCATGTTGTACAGGATGGTCTCGATTTCTTGACCTCATGATCCACCACCCCACCCCACCCCCACCGCCTCAGCCTCCCAAAGTGAGCCACCATGCCCGGCCTATTAATTATCTTAAATTGCTGCCTGAGGAATATTATATTGTTCTATACAACTTGTCTCAATTAGTTTTGTTCATTAACCATTCAAATAGAAAACCAGGGAAGAATATGAGATTTGTTTTTTAAGACCAGCTACTTTATTTTAGTTCAGGTAAAATTTAAATTTCTGGAGTAAAAATTACAGTCAGGATTAGTTTTTGGATGAAACTGAACATTTTAATCCTCAAATCTTCAAGTCCTCCTTGCAAAAGGCATATAAATCTTGCTTATGTTATCCCCTGCCTCTTAAGCAAGGGAGGCTTAAAGATATTTCATCATCGTTATGGATGGAGTAAACCACAACGTATCAAATTCTTAAGTGCTACAAATCACAACAGGTAACCAAGTGCTAGTAATACATGTATTTATATGTTTGTTTGTTTGTGTGTGTGTGCGTGTTTGTGTGTATGACATTGATTTTCACCTTGGGTTGGTCATATAAAAATACCCAAAATACTTCTCAAATGCAATATTAATACTGTGAGAGTCTGATATACTGTGTATGTTCGAACAGGTAAGGAATAGAGCAGAACAGGTGACAGAAGATAGTCTCCAGGGTATCTGGATCTCTGCATTTTGAAAAAGATCTTTGGGTGCTTTTGATAGTTTCAGTCTCCCATGCCCCCTACCTCTTTTTTAAGAACACGGAAAAATATTGCCTAAAATATTTTCATGTATGTCAAGTCAACATGCATTTACCTCAACTGTATTTAAGTTAACAGTCCTAATTCTTATTTACTGAGCATGTATGCCAGGAACTTTGAAAGTTGTGTTGATTTTATTATAAATAATTAAAATTATTTGGTGCTCTATTATGCTTTAGAACATAATAGTTTAGACAAGTAGTGTTTTATTTTACTGAATGAAGTTAAGAAGCTGAAAAACAGTAATGTCGAACATCTCAAGGATATCGGCCATGTCACATTTCCTCGGTTAATCTAATTTGTTGTTTGCAGCAACACCATGAGGTGTTTTCCTTCTGAGAAAACAGGGCTGGCTGGACAGGACACAGCCCCATGGGTAAATGGCTTGGCAGGGCAACAGTATCTTTGTACAAACCCCTCTGCAGAGATTGTGCATTGAGCAACCTGTCCAGAGCCTATGATCTTTACTACTGCACTTTGCAATTGTTTGCAAATAAGTTAGAATTAGAGTCTTTGCTGTACATTTGCGATTTAATTAAATAGCTGCTGTTTACTGAGCACCTGTTCTTTCCATTGTTTGAGAATTTCCATGTGTGTTTGTGTGTGTATATACGCCATATATGTGTGTAATTTATACAAGTCTGCTATTAATGTTTTTGATACAAGTAAATATTTAATCTTATAAAATAAATGTCAAATTAACATTTTATTTGGTAACATTTTATTTGATACATTTTATTTAACACTTTTAAATTTTAGTTTATCGATGGTCGACTGGCAAAACTAAACACAGGAAGGGGTTTCTCTGATGTATTTGAAGAAGAGATCACTTCAGGTGGCTTTTGTGGAGGTAAAGACTAGTTATAATTATATGATTATCCATTTTCTAAATAACAATTATCTCAGTTTTTGCACTTGTGTCTGATAAAATCTATTTCATAAACTATTATTTTCTCCTAAATATGTAATATCTTAAATGCATTTTATCATCTTATAAAAGTTATGATACTAGCTTATTTTGCCTGATATCTGTTACTCAAGGCATTAAGTTGGCCTCATGAATTGGTAGCTGTTGGCCTGAATAATCTCTTAATATTACTGGAAATTAGTAATACAGAAATCCAGTCAACTCATATCTTCCTGCCTTTCCTTCTGAATAGTAGTGTTCTCTGCTAGAAAACTACTAATGATGGTTATTACTGAGTATGAATTAAAGAACTGAAGTTATGATTGATAACACAATCCAAAAAGAAAGATCTGAACACCAAAATTATTTCTACATATTTAAGTAACTGTATTACTGTGCAGATGTCTTTACCTTTTTTACTTTATACATCACCACAGGAGGAAAGTTTCCAATTTAACATTCCATAAATATAATTAATCCTTCTAATGTAAATGTTCAAATAATGTTATAATTATCTAGGCAATTCATAATTTACAAACTGATATTTTTGCACAGTTGTCATACATAGTCTTGACTTGCAGAGCATTTTGCTTGAGTACTGGAAGTGTCCTGTTCATTCATTGAGTATTTGCTGAGTGCTTGCAATGTACTAGGCACTGCTCTAAATACTAGGTGTACTAAATAAACAAAAATCCCTGTATTCTATATCTTAGTGTGTTAATTTTTGACCTGGTATAATAAGCAATTTTATAAACTTCTTTGTATATTTATTTGAGAAAAACATTTTCAGTCTTGTGTAAATAGTTGCTGGAATTGAGAAATGAAACATGAAAAGACAACAAGTAACAGATATTCATCTATACATTTCACAGAATTTAACTTTATTCTTAAGATTCATGTTTTCCATTAAAATATAGAAACCATTGAGATAATTGGTTCATTAAAGGAGGTACAAATGAACTCAGTAGCTGTGGACCCTTATCTGATGTATTTCATTTCATTGAAAGCGTTTAGCTTGGGGAAAAGTTAGTTTGCTTGACTCAGCAAATAAGCTGAATGTGGAATCATTCAGCTCCTTGCTTCCCTCAGTTCATGGGTAAAAATTTAGCTTCAATGGAACTTTTGTGTTAAAATAACACTTTTTTACTTCTCAGCTCAGACAAGCAAAAATATTGTCAGCTCATGGACAAGTTGCTTGAGGCATCTATTCAGTATTTACATAACTGCTGTCTCATTATCTTTATGACCCGTGGGGCTAGTAGCTTTTATAGAATTGAAGATGACATTTTGTGACAATAAGGGGCTAGAACCATGATCCTTTTGTACAGTTAAATTCTGTAGTCTTAACCATTGCTCCAGGTACCTCTGTAAGAGAGTAGAGATAGGTGGCTTTTCTGGTGGTAAGGCTCACTAAAATTTTTCATGAAAAGCCTTACTGTTTAAAAAAGTAGAGGAACATATGATTACCAATTAGTATCTAACTTAGAAACTTCTGCATTTTTAATACAAGTTAATGCCCACTACTTTGTGTTTTTTTATTAAAATGAAAAGGTTTTGAACTCTTATTTTAATTTGAGAGAGCCAATACTTATCTAAAAGGAAAGCCTAATTTGACAAATACTAATTCCAGTGAGTACAGCAAGAAAGTTCCTTAGAAATTTGTGCCTATCAAGCATATTTTTAAATTATTCTATTTTATGTTCTTTTAGAGATACATAGACTTCTTTTGTAGATGAAAATAAAGCAAAGTATATTAGGATTTGAAATAAAAAGATGACTAGTATAATAAAAATTAGTAGTGTTCTAACTATTAATTAGAAAATATCCATCTATCTAGGGTGGGTGGGTGTGTGTGTGTGTGTGTGTGTGTGTGTTTCCAAAATGGTTCTTAGAGGTCAGTTCCAAACATTTGTCTTTCACGCTACCCTTGTGAGAAAGAAAAACATATCAATGTCATGAAATTAACCTGTTCTTCAAAGAAGTAAACTGATCTAACTTTGTTTTTCTCATAATAATAGTAATACAATTGCTAATATTTATTGAACACTAATATGTGACAAACTCTCCCAAGAGCTCTGCAAATATTATCTCATTTAATCCTCACAACACCCTAGGAGATTCTTTTATTACCTCATTTTTATTGAGTACTCAGCTCAATAATTCACCCAAGGTCATACAGCAAGTAGTGGCCAGTCTTACTTCCACATGTGTGGAATTCAAAGTGGCTTCGAAGACCTTGCTTTAATAATAATATATTGCTTTTTAATAATAGATTTTCTTAATGCAAAAATATTCAGTAAACAGGAGTAGTAGTTAACCCCTTTCTACTCTGATTGAATCAAAGCAAAATTCTTATCTCTTTTGAATTTTTTATAGATTTTTTACACATAAAGTCCTAGAAAGACCACTGTGGTAGAAATTAACATTAAAACTAAGAAACAATTATATTCCTTTAAGCAAAAATAATTAGGAAATTTCAGAGAAACATCTATTTATCCTCTTTCTATATCACTGCAGTAGTAGTTTATATGTTATTTTTGTTGTCAGTGCCTATGGTTATGATAAAATGAATATGAGTATTATGGAGCTTTATAATTATTGTGGCTCTGATTAAGAATATATTGTGTAGAACAAACAGATAAGAAACACCTAGATTCACATTTGACTCTAGAACTATAGGGTTAAATAATCTGTGAATGCATGCATTTTTTTCAAAAACTGTGTCTGTCCTGTGAGCCCTTATCAGGACAATGAAGGAAATCCATGTCACACCTTAGTCCTTCATGAGACCCTTGCAAAACCTTCGACCTTAACTTAAAAGGAAAATTTTAACTTAACTTAAAAAGAATGTGCGAAGGGAAGAATAGCTATGGAGTTTAAAAGGTAATAAAAGAGGACAGGAGTAGAACAAAGGATGCATTTAAGTAAACACAATATTGGTCTGTGAAAAAGCAGCTAAGGAATATTGAGTAGTTAAGAACATAGTCTTTCTTTAAATAATTGTTTTCATTTAAGATGAAATTAGTTTTTAAATTTACATCAACATAACTTTTGAAAGGAGAAATATTTTCAGATTGATTTTATGCGGAGTGTGTGGTTACTCTCCATCACTAGCATGTGTTTCTTCCTTAGTTTACGCACATAATCTGATGAGTCTTTTATTTGTTCTTGTATTTATTTTTCCATTCTTAATTAGTTTTACTGACTAAGGTATCAAAGGAATTTGAAGGAGTAGTAGGTAATATCAATTTTAGTGTTGTTTTCCTGGTCTTGCTGAACAATTTAAACCAATTTACATTTTGAGATACATAAGTACAAATTACTGGAATTTAAGCAAGTACATTTGAAGAGAAAGTCTTGGTATAAGTGAGAAATAGATATTTTGTCCTTTATTGTGAGAAAATCAGTTGTTTCATTAATAAAAATAATGTTAAGATTCTGTTCAGTAATGCTTGTTATTACCATAATCCAGTTATTTTGAAAGAAGGATTCTGAGGGATATCTTTAGTATTCAAATTAGTTTTTAGAAGAACAACAGCTTTTTTCTAACATTACTAAAGAATAATGTGCCTTTCTTATAAATTTTGTGAAAATAAGAACCTTAAATCATAAAAGCACTAAAATTTAAAGGCACAATTAGCCCTTAAAACTTTTAAAATAGGAATCTACCTAAATTGTACCATGTTTCCCTGTCATCTAAGCCAGGGACTTCTGGTTTGCCCTATACTATGAAATTGTAGATTATTGCTGGCAGTTTTCTCTATTACCCTTCCTTTTCGGGGTATTAGCTTTGAGCAGCCCCTTTCCCTTTCAAATATAATTGCTTTGGGTGTGATACAGCAGAAACCTCTGCATAACTTACGTTTTAATCATATTTTATTTAGCAGTCTTAGAGGCAGTTTTTCAGAGTTGATAGAATAGTGAACCAGGAATTGAAATCCTAGATTCTTACTCTTTTTCAGTTGCTAGCCTTGAGAACATGAATGAATAATATGTCATCTTAGAACCTCAGTTTTCTATTTTACCAAATTATTTATAGTAATAACAATCACTTATGATATTTCTTCAATATGCTATGTACCATACTAAACATTGTTTAATCATTATGTTTCATCCTTACAAGAATCCTGAAGGGCAGTAACTATTATGCTTATTTGATGAATGAAGAAACTGAGGCTCAGCCAAGTTAAGGACCTCATCCCAAATAATATCCTTTACAAGGAAAGAGTAGTTCTGAATACCATAGGTCCATTGGACTCAAAAGCTCACTTGTTTCTTATTGAACTGATCCACTACTTGTTTGCCTATTTTACAGTAGAAAACTGTGGTTCAAATGATGTAGATAAAAACATTCAATGACTTCTACAGGGCTGAAAATTTGCTTTCTTATTCCTCAGAGATCTAAATAAGACCCTAACCTTCCTACAATGGTTTGAAACTTTTATGATAGCCAGTTTCTTTGTGGTTCAGAGGTTTAAATAAATTGTTTTTTGGATTAACAAGTGTTACAGAGTGCTAAACTGGTGTTTCTTCTTCTGCTTTCTTACATTCATTTGGGAAAATAATTAAAGTAGAACACTTTACAGAATACTATGAATAATAATCAAATCTTAAATAGGTGATTTCCACTCAACCATTTTTAATAGAGAAGTATTTTAATACAGAAATAAACATATATGAACAATCTGGATGAAGAGAGATCTGCGGTTTATTCTGTTGTTTGAAAACATCTCCTTAAGAAATAAATTGGTAGAATAACTTGGAATGTTTTATTATTTTGCAAGGGAAATATTTACTTTTAAAAGTTTGTTCAAGCCAAATACCACCTGAAACTTATACCTTTTAAACAGTGCAGTTTACTTTTACTAATGTTATTTTAGGTAGTTACATTTTGCTTTCGTTATTTCACTAGATGAGAAAAAATTTTTTGCCTCCATATTTCATCCTCCGGAAAAGGTGCATTGCAGTGTTCTGAGCAGTCAGAGATATTTTTCAGAATAAAAATTGTTTATGGACATTTCTTTTAAATTAGGGTAAGATTTTAAATATAGAAGTGAATCCAGAGCTTGACAGTTCTTCCCTGATGTTGGTTAGGGTGCAAAGATAACAGTAGAAAGATATTTTGGGGTTGAGATCATTTTGTCTCTATTTAGTAAGAGAAAGGTGATACATCTTTTAAAATCCACAGCCATAGACTAGAGGAGAACACTATGTTTTAGGAATTCTTTGTACTGGATAGTGTCTGAGTAGCCATTGGGACTTTTTTTTTTTTTTTTTAAAAAAAAGATGAGGTCTTGCCCTGTCTCCCACGCTGGAGTGCAGTGGCATAATCATAGTGTACTGCAACTTTGAACTTCTTGGCTCGACCAGTGTCCCAGCCACAGCCTTTCAAGTAGCTGGCACTATAGGTGGGAGCCACCATACCAGGTCTGGGATTTTGTTTTTTATTGTGACTTTTTACCCCTGTGAATTAGGGAGTATTTAAGCTTTTAAACAAGAAGGTAGTTGAAATCTAACAGAAATCACTTGATGGGAAAGATTAGCTAAGTTGTATCTGTATTTCTTTTTTTACCTTCTGATAGCATCTTATTGACTAAATTATCAGTTTGGAAACAGATATGTTGATTGCCAGATTTTATTAGAACTACTTTGGTTAGCGCATGAGCTGTTAAATCATGACAATCTATAGCCTAAAAGCTGCATTTGCTTCACATATCCTTGCATAATATTTTTCTAACTTACAGATTTACAACTAGAGAATATTTTCAAAACTAAAACTCCAAGTTTACATTAAAATAAAGTTAGCTACTAATCTCTGTTAATATTTAGCAGTTGTAGAAGAATGTTTTTTGTTGCCAAGGTTGTTTGCACTTCTAAGTTTTCTTCTAGTTTTTTAAAAGTACCAGTATAATATTTCTGTATGTACAAGAAATATTATTTGAAAATAAACCTAATTGTGTAAAGGATGCAAAGTTTACAAAACAACAGACATAAAACATGGAAAAATCAGTTTAAAAAGCATAAGAATTTTGGATTTCAGAAGAGAGGCTGGTTATATTTTCTCCTCTGCGGCTAATACTAAAGTGGAAGAAATTGAATACCATTAGCTTCATATATGGATGAAAAAAGTGATCATTATTCCTGAAATTGCTAATTATTCCTAAGAATTAGAACAATTTATTAGTTCTTATGATGCCGTTTATTATTGCTTCTTTTACAACATTGCATATAATGTTTGCCTACTAAAAATTGTGCAAATACTAGTCCTTGATAAATTTTGGTTTACAGATTTATTTTTGATGAACATTCCTGGCATCTCATTTTTATATATTCCAGGAAACCCGAGGTCATATCAACAATGGGTGCATACAGTCAAGGTAATCATAAGCTTTCACATGTTATTCTTTCACTCTAATATAAATGAAGAAATGTTCAGCAAAAGTATGCTGTTTATACTTACGCTGTTTATTTGAAATATTTGAAGTGTTTGTATATTTTGTTACATTTTAAATATTCTTATTTTTTGTTTATAGTTTGTTGAAACTCATTACTATAATTTTTAAATGAAAAGTCTTGGTCCAAAGATAAATGCTTGTTTTGAAAAGCAAGACTTTACTGTCATCTTTTATTATTTTCCAGAAGAAGAAATTAGATGGGTTAGTAGGATTTGATGGCAATGTTATAATTTCTGGTAATATAGTTTTGCTAATATGATTTTTAAATATGAAACTTTCTCCCATAGATTGAGACTTTATTTGCCCACTATTAAAACAGCTGATAAACTAGTATTTCTTTCTAAACTTTTAAATATATTCAGATTGCTCATGTTTACGTAAACTTCAAATGATTTTTTAAATGATGTATAATATCAACTAAAGAACAAAGTGGAAAGTGTACATTTTGTTTGAAATTATTATAGTACATAGAAACTTGAAAACACTCAACATGAAATAATTTGCATAGGACTTTAAGTTGTCTGTAAAGCTTTTTTTATGCCACTTATTATAATGCTTTGTTTTCAGGACATTTTGGCCAAAAGTTTTTGGAAATACATTTCTGTATTTCTTTTGCAGAAAGGAGGTGCACTGTTCAACACAGCAATGACCAAAGCAACCCCTGCTGTACGGACAGCATATAAATTTGTAAGTTTTTTTGACATTAAAAAATTATATTCATAAAATTATATACCATTTTCCTAGATGATAGACATGTAAATTCTGAATATTTTCTATTTTTCTTTTAAATAAACCTAAAAAAAATAGAATTAATATTAACTAAAACAAATTCAGTTGTTAAAATTATAACATTGCATACAGAAGGTAGTTTCCTTTATATAATCTAAAAAAGGTTCTTATTTTATTTCAAAGCTATCAGCAAATTTGTGCAGCAAATTGAAACAGTTCATGATAGAGTACCATTTTGTAAAATGTCATTATTTCATTTAACAACATTTTAAATTCTTGTTGTCTACTTGTGGCTCAAGTAGGAAAAAAAAAAGAAAGAAAAATATAGCAAGATCTTTTCCCTCAAAGATGCATTGACTCTCTGTTAACATTCTTCAGTGAGTATCTAAGGCAAGGTTTTTCAACCCATGGCCTGCGTCAACCTCCTGAGTACATGGGATTACAGGCACCTGCCACCATGTCCAGCTAATTTTTGCATTTTTAGAAGAGATGGGATTTCACCATGTTGGTCAGGTTGGTCTCAAACTCCTGACCTCAAGTGATCTGCCTGCCTTGGCCTCTAAAGGTGTTGGGATTATAGGCGTGAGCCACTGCACCTGGCCCCAACACAAATTCTTAAACTTCTTAAAACATTATGAGATTTTTCCTGCATTATTATTATTATTTCTTCTTCTTCTTCTTCTTCTTCCTTCCTCCTCCTCTTCCTCCTCTTCCTCTTCCTCTTCTTCTTGTTCTTCTTATTCCTCCTCCTCCTCCTCCCCCCCTCCTCCCCCCTTCCCCCTCCCCCTCCCCCTACATCTCCTCCTCCTCCTCCTCCTCCTCTTCTCCTTCTCCTTCTCCTTCTTCTCCTCCTCCTCCTCCTCCTTCTTCTTCTTCTTCCTCTTCCTCTTCTTCTTCTTCTTCCTTTTCTTCTTCCTTTTCTCCTTTTTTCTTTAGCTCATCAGCTTTTGTTAGTGTTAGTGTATTATATTTGTGGCCCAAGACAATTCTCCTTCCTCCGACGTGGCCCAAGAAAGCCAAAAGATTGAACACCCCTGCACTAAGGCTTATAGAAAATAATGATGGGAATATTAGCAAGAATAATAAAGTTAACAGTATATGTTAAAGTAAAAAATAACTCTTTAATATGACAATTAAGACCCTTCAAAACCCACCCTTCATGTCTAGTTCCTTTTCACCCTACTCCTCAGGACCTTCCATATCTCTGAAGATAATTATTTACTCCTCATTTCATAAATATAAGATATTCTCCTCTGCCCTTCAATTCTTGCTCAAGCCATTCCTATTAATGGAATGTCAATTTCTTGGCCTTTATCCACCTAGTAAACACCAGTTCATTTTATAGGACTTAGTTCAGGCATTATTTCCCTGAAAAAATTCTTCTCAACCCTACACAAAAAAAGTTTATATACATATTTTTGTATCTGTAGGACTTCTGTTTCAACACTTGTTTTGTCTGTGTGTGTTTCTCTCTTAGTACTAGCCTAGTAACATCTCAAGAGAAGCTAGTAGGTTGTGATCAGTAAATTTTTAAAAATTCAATAGGTCGTGTATTTTATATTTCTAAAAATATTTAAGGCAATAGTTTTGATTTTGTAAGAATTTGTCTTCAAAAGCTTTTCTCAGTAAATTAATTGATGTGACTGAATTAATAATAAAATAGTGTATTTTAATAAAAGTTTAGAACTTCCATTGTTTCTTGGCTTAAAATTGTGATATAAATGTGGCTACCTTTTCTGTTTAAAAATTCCATTCAAATATTAAATTTTATAGTAGGAAAGCTAATCTATAGAGTTTAAAAAATACAGTTCCCAAATTATAATTATTTGAAACCTAACCACAAAGCCACAGTAAGACAAGGTAAACCTCAGCCTCTGCCTTTTGTTTGGTTGTTCTGTGGCTTTGCTAGGAAACCTCATTGGTGGTTTGATTTAAGTGCAGTTTTTGAAGAGGTTTTTTTCACAAATGAAATAGCACACAACTACCATTTGAAAAACAAAGTAATGTTGATCCTTGTTTCTCACATTCATTTAAGATTCTAAAAATGGTTTCACAGTCAACAGCCCTTCATTTTCTCCTAGAGCAGGCAGTTCAGGGTTTTTTCAGGCTTAGGGAGGTTGTATTGTTTTGTCAAATATGTGCCTTGTCTTAATTTCACTCGTATTTTTCACAAAAGCACAGCAATGAAGCAAACGTGTTCAAACCTTTATTCATTATTTAAAAATTTATCCTTTTAATCAGTGGAGTATTTTATTTTAACCCTTCTCTGCAAGGAAGTAAAATGTTTTCAAATTAGAAATTCTACTCTTTGAGCCATGTGTGGTGGCTCACACCTGTAATCCCAGCACTTTGGGAGGCTGAGGCAGGAGGATGACTTGAGGTCAGGAGTTCAAGACCATCCTGGCCAATATGGTTCAACTCTATCTCTACTGAAAATACAAAAATTAGCCAGATGTGGTGGCATGCACCTGTGGTCCCAGCTACTTGGAAAACTGAGGCTGGAGAATTGCTGGAGCCTGGGAGGTGGAAGTTGCAGTGAGCCAAGGTCACGCCACTGCACCCCACCCTGGGTGACAAAGCAAGACTGTGTCTCAAAAAAAAAAAAAAGAATTCTACTCTGGAGGATTATTCCCTAAAGTAATTTCAAGTGAATAAGGTCTTTAGAATATCCCTAATCACTTTTATTATTTATCTTGTGATCATATCATCTTTGAATCAAGAGGTTTGGGGCAGGTAAGTGAGTCATTTTGTGAGCTTTGTAGTTGTATCTAAAACTGATCTTTCCAGACTGCTCATTTTCTGAAATCTACACTCTGAAATTCCTTCTTTGACAACAAATTGCTATGAATAAAGCTCCCACTTTCTGTTGTGTGGTATGACATAATTTATTCACCTTGGTTTTCTGTAGACAGTAAATTTTTCAAAACTGGAAATCATGTTTTTATCTCATTCATTCAACAAATTATTTGAGTGCCTATCATGGACTAGTCCTTATACTCATTGGAGTTAGAGCACAGCATGAACGTACAGTAAGTGATACTGTCCCTACTTTTATTTTTGTGTTCCTGTCACTTTGCTCTGCACTTTGAACATACCACAGAAATACTGTATATGTGTTTGTCAAAGCAAATAATGATTCTGTCCTGTTCTTATGAACATTTTTGTACTTATTTTTATGGTCAAAAATTTTCCCTATGCTTTTCATACATATGTTTTTCTATGCTGTAGGAGCCATAAAGAAAACTAGAGTTGCCATACATACTTTTATAAATTTAAAAATAACAGCAAAGTGGAATTCATATTTTATTTGGCTAAAAGGCTCTCAACTCATCTTTCTTGTTAGGTCTGCATTTTAAATTATTAGCAAAAGCCATTTGCTTGGAGCATTTCTGTGAAGAGTACTTGCATATTGTTAAGCTTCAAATTGGTAAATTGAAAAGGATAGAGAGAACCTATATCCCATCTTCCATGTAATCTGAAGGAAGTCAAAGAAGGACATAGAGCAACAATTATTTAAATGAACCAGTGCACTACGGAATTATAGAATCATGGAAGACACTGACACTAGTAGCTTCAACTCTGTATACTAAAGAGCATCTGAAAAGATCAGTGTAATCAAATGGTTTAGAGGGTAGTTAAGTAAACTAGATTATAGTCTCCCTGAGTCACTTTCCTTATTTTGTAATGTTATCATAGTAGTACTAATCTTATGGAACTGTAGTAATAACTACATAGGATAATGCATACTAAGCACCCAGCACACAGTCATATATTTGGGAAACAAAATAAATATGAATTCCTTTTCTCTTCTTTTTCACCTTGGCCTCTGTGAGTAGGAATTTCTAATGGAACAAAGACTAAGGCTTTTATGAAAGCCCCCAGTTGTCTTTAGTTAAGTTATAGCCCTCAGGAGTCACAGCAGGATGTGAGAAACTCAAATCCTGGGGCCAGATTCCCTGTGAAACATGAAGATAGCTTTAAATTGTTAAATGATCTTTAATTTTTGCCAGAAAAACTATGTATGAAATACCATTCCATTAAGATGGCTCTGCTAATAAAATTCTGTCTGCCTATAGGAGCACCTAATAAAGCTTTGTAAAATTGCCGGCGTTTCTTGAAGTTCAAACATCTGCCCAAATAACTTGCTGCTGGGATGTGCTTTCTCTGTTCCTCCAGTTTGTTACAGTTTTAACATTAGTAATCTGGTTTATTCCCTTTGTGTTCTTGAGAGTTTAGGAAGCAAAATAGGCTAAATGTTAGCCTTTGTATGATACTTGTATACAAAGAAGAGACTAATGGTTTTAGTAACTGATTTAAGTGTAATAATATAGTAAGTGGTATGTGTATCCCTGAAAATAGAGTGTTAGATTATAATATGTTCTTTTTCTAAATCATATGAATAGTCAGTAATTGTCATTAAATGTGATCTTGTATACTTGTTCTTGAAAAGGTAATAGAACCATGCTGAGCTAGGCACATTTATTGTCATTTTCTAGGCAAAAAATCATGCAAAGCTGGGACTAAAGGAAGTGAAGAGTAAGCTAAAACACAAGGTACGTCACATTCACTTTTTTTCTGTTTTACCTAGATGCTTGTACTAGTTTGAAGTTTAGACTTTACAAATTAGAAATTTATGTTTTTAATGACTTTTGAAATATGCTTAGCCCTTTATTCAAGAATGTGTTTTTTATAACAAGCCCTCTGGCAACTATCTGCCCTTCTATATGCATCCACTGAATAATCTCTTTACTGTTAGCATATTTTATCACAGAACTATGGAAGTCTTCAAAGATGCTTTAACAAGATGTATGTTTTCATAAGGTTGATTGCCTTGATACCACAACTGAAGTTCTTGCTTTATGCTAAGAATATTTTTTAAAGATATCTTTGTGTAGAACTAATCGAGGAATACCATCATTTGTTTTGATAGTCTCATTCCAATAGTAGTTACTTTAAAATGAAGAATGTTCTTAATTTACAAAAGATTTTGTATGTGTTTAAGCTGTGAATATTGCAGATATGTAAATGCATATATGTATGTTGATTTTAATATATATCTTCACAGATTTCATTATCAGTTGTTATGTTTTGAATTTTTATCTTTGGAGAATACATACTATTAAAACTTTCAGTATAGTGTTAGCAAATTATCTTTATACAAATTTTATTCAAATTATTTAAAGTAATCAGAGATTTTTTTTCTTTTTTTTTTTTTTTTTTCCCTTTTTGTGGAGAACGGGGTCTCGCTATATTGCCCAGGCAGGTCTTGAACTCCTGGGCTCAAGCTATCCTCCCACCTCTGCCTCCCTAAGAGCTGGGATTACAGGCGTGAGCCACAGCGCCTGGCCAGAGATTTTTAAATTAATTTTTATTAAATTAAATTTATTACTTTATATTAATATAAATTATAATTAACTTTATTAAATTAAATTTGTTGATTTAGATTATAGATAAATGCATTTTCTTCCTATATAGATTCTTTATACTGAAAGCTGAAGTGTTATTTTGCTACTTGTATGTGTATCAGATACTTTGTTTATTAATATAATAACTTTAGTAATAAAAGGAGTATTTTACAGTAATTGCATGTATATTTTTTCATGTGTAGGAAAATGAAGAGGATTATGGGACCTGTTCTAGTTCTGTACAATATACACCAGTTTACAAATTACACAATGAAAAGGGAGGAAACTCAGAAAAACGCAAGCTTGCTCAGGTAAGTGAGATTATTTACCCTTCATTCCTGCACATTCTCAACTTACATAATTCCAATAAATTATTTAGGAAAAATTTGGACCCATTTATTTTTTTCTTATAAGAAAACCTGCAGTATTGGTCAAGGGGAGGAGTAGGTGGAATCTGGGAAGGCTACAAGGGGATTGAGAGTCAAATGTTTCAGAAATCAGTCTCTACATGTTTTGTTAGCCCATGCCCTCATAGATCGCAGAGTCCAGTGAGAGGAAAGACAATTAAATGTGTGATCCTCATAGAGTGCAGATAGCTTGATGATAAACTGGAAATCATAGGTTTCCTTTACTACTAAAATAAAATCAATCTTATACATGGGTATTTGGCCATTAAAATAGTGTATAGAAATTAAAATCTGAACTACTATAAGTCTATCTTTTTCTAAAGTTAGATATTTTATTTGCTATAGATATTTAAAGCTTCTTTTTATATGCTGATGCTACTTAAAATATTGTTTCAAGTGGCAGTGTTCAGAATCATAGCTATAAGTGTTTCTGCTTTTTTTTCATTAGTACATTTATGAAGGCTCTAACTCAACAGAATTGGTATACACCAAATCATATCTTAAGTGGCTTTAGAAAACTAGCTTCAAAAAAGAATTCTTGAGTGGACTATAGCTACAAAATTACATAGCTAGAAGTGGCTGCAAAGCTTCATTTATTACAGTTGCCGAGGTTTGCAGATGAGAAAGTTGATCGCTAGCAAGGTCACACCACTTGCCATAAGTCTCATAACTGGTCAGTGGCAGAAGGAGGCAAAAACCCATCTCTGATGCTCATTTAGCTTTCCTGGATAGCCAGGCCCCACAGAAATATACGTGGCCATAAAGTGCTTCTGTGGGTCTTTGTCTTTGGGTCCATTTTGCGCTGCTCTACCAGAATACCTGAGTTGGGGTAATTTGTAGAGAATAGACATTTATTTCTCACAGTTCTGGAGGCTGGGAGGTCTAAGATCAAGGCACTGCCACCTTATGAGGCCCTTCTTGCTGTGGCCTCCCAGGGTGGAAGGCAGAAAGGCAAGAGAGATGAGGGGACCAAACTCACCCGTTTATAACGGCACTTATCCCACCCAAGAGGGTGGAACCCTGATGGCCTAATCATCTCTTAAAGATCCCACTTCTTAATACCATTACAATGGCAATTAAACTTCAACATGAGATTGTGAGGGGACAAAATTTAAACCATAACACTCTTTAAGAATGGGAAAGGATAGTGAAGCTGTACTGAAACTCTAGACCTTTGTTAAAAAAAAAAAATCCCATTAATTCAATCATTCATCAACACTATATGCAGACACTTTTCCTGGTGCCATGTATATATAAAAGAAAAACACAAAAATTCTCTCTGACTTCATGGGACTATTTTTGTAACATATTGAATAAGCACTTTCCTTCTGATTTATTCATTTATTAAGCTGATATTTTTATATTAGAATTGCTTAATTACAACATACTGACAGTCAATGCTGATTGTCTTTTCTAAAATAAGCCCTTCAATAAAATAATTATTCCAGAAGTCAGAAACCTTTTCTTGTTACTGCTGTTAAGAACATTTATTAATGTGTGAACTAATGATAGATTTGCTATTGATTTTCTGTTTTTTTTCCCCGCCACTAATATGCTCAATTCTTGTCTATTTTCAAGCTTTAACATCTCAAATACTGTTGTAAAGTGTTTACTGGCTTAATATTGGAGCATTTAGGTTATCTTTACCATGGTGAATAGATTTTCTGTGAAAAAGAATATGAGATCTTTGTTACCTATGGGATACTTTAGGATTAAAAAAAATTTATATTGGAGAAACGCGTTTTCAAAACATCAATTTCAAGTTACAATCACTATTAGCTCCTCATATTTTATTTTTTAATTATAAGTTGACGGTTTATAATTATAAATTTATAGGGTCTAAAGCAACGTTTTAATTCATGAATATAATGTGAAATAATTACATAAAGGTAGTTAACATATCCATCACCTCAAATACTTAACATTTTTTGTGGCAAGAACATTCGAAATTTGCTCTCGGGACTTCTGCCAAGATGGCCGAATAGGAACAGCTCTGGAGTGCAATTCCCAGCGAGAGAGACTCAGAAGGCGAGCAATCTCTGCATTTCCAACTGAGGTACCAAGTTCATTTCAGTGGAACTGGTTGGACAGTGGGTGTAGCCCAAGGAGGGTGAACCGAGGCAGGGTAGGGCACTGCCCCACCCTGAAAGTGCAACTGACCAGAGGATTGGGGACTTTACCCCCTTGGCACTGTGGTTCAGATACTGTGCCTCTCCCATGGCTATTGCAACCCACAGTCCAGGAGAATGCCACCAGCCTGAAAAGCACCCCAAGTTTCCAACAAAATCTAAGCAACAGCTCCAGCCAGCCCAGTGCTGCAAGTTGTCAGCAAAAAAGTGGACAGAAGTATTGACTAGCCCACGAGCGCCTGCGGGAGGGATGTACCTACCCCCAAGAAAGAGGGAGAGCTGACAACAGAGAGACAGGTGATATGGCTTGGCAGGTCCTGCCCCCACAAAGATCAGCAAACTGAAGCCCTCTTGCTTGAGACTTGCACATCAGTTCAAGCCCAACCCAGGATGATTGAGTTCAGTGCGGGGAAGGGTATCTGCCATTGTGAAAGCAGATCTAATCTCACCTGTGTAAACAAAAGCCAGAAGAAGCCTACACAGCAGCTGGGCCGAGTCAGAGGCAGCCCAGCAATGCTTCTGCAGGCAGACAAGGGACAGACTGCCTTCTCATGTGACTCCCGGACCCCTGAGTAACAAAAAAAATGCCTCTTACAGCAGAGGGGTCTGTTAGAAGGTAAACCAAAAAAAAAAAAAAAAAGAAAAGAAAAGAAATAGCTTCAACATCAACAGAAAGGACGACCACTCAGACCCCGTCGGAAATCACCAACTTCGAAGATCAAAGGTAGATAAACACACGAAGATGGGAAGAAACCAGTGCAAAAAGGATGAAATCATCAATGACCAGAATGCCTCTCCTCCTCCAAGGGATCACAAATCCTCACCAGCAAGAGAACAAAACAGGAAGGGGAATGAGTTTGACAAATGGACAGAAGCAGGCTTCAGAAGGTGGTTAATTACAAACTTCTCTCAGCTAAAGAAACATGTTCTAACCCAATGCAAAGAAACTAAAACCTTGAAAAAAGGTTAGACGAAATGCTAACTAGAATAACCAGCTTAGAGAAGAACATAAACAACTTGATGAAACTGAAAAACAGCACGAGAACTTCAGGAAGCATATACAAGTTTCAGTAGCCAAATCGATCAAGTAGAAGAAAGGATATCAGAGATTGAAGATCAACTCAATGAAATAAAATGAGAAGGCAATATTAGAGAGAAAAAAAAGTGAAAAGAAATAAAGCCTCCAAGAAAGGGATTATGTGAAAAGACCTACTCTGTGCTTTATCAGTGTACCTGAAATTTGCTCTCATAGCAATTTCGAAATGTACAATACTCTATTATTAATTATATTCATCATGGTGTGCAGTAGAACTAGCAAAATAATTTTTAAGCCTTCCTTTAACAAGGCATAGCACTTTTATGATAATGTAATTATAAAATACATTACTGATTTCTGTTTTTGTTTTCTGTTAACTTCTAGAAATAATTTCTTTTTTTATTATGTACATCAAGTTGTATAACATGATGTTTTGATATACGTAATAAAATAATTACTGTATTCAAGCAAATTAACACATTTGTCATCTCACAGTTACCTGGTTTTTTTTCAAAGTAAGAACACCTAAAACCTATTCTCCTAGCAATTTTCTAGTATTAACATAGTATTATTAACTATAGTCCTTACACTGTAGATTCTGATAGAGAAAATTGTATTGGGTTACGGAAAACCTTACAGAATAATGGGTTGCATTCAGCGTATACTTAGACTGAATCTTGAGGGCTACTATGTATTATTATTAATTCAGTTATCTGCATTCATTAGTTAGCATTTTATGGTTTACAGTAGATATGACAGCAATGATAACTATAACAGGAATTAGGAGTAGGGCTTATTATGTTAAGAATTCTAACGTGATTTTCCTGCTTGCTGTACAGGAATTTGCTAAACCTACATTTAGAATTGTAATGCAAATGTTGATAGTATCTGAATAACAATCTTTACTTTTGACGTGATAAATATCTGAGTTTCAGGAAATGTGTATACCCAGTATATATGTTTCTTTTTATTTTTTATGTGTCCCGTTATATAAACAGGCAAATATATCTGAGTGTTGTATATATCTTAATAGCAAAAATTTTAGGAGTTCATATGCCCATTTTTCGCCTACTGATATCTATTATGATATAAATATTTTGCTTGCATTTTTTTGTATGATTGAAATTTGATTTTTTAGTTTTAGATTCACATAGGTATTTAACAAAGAGGTAAATTTTTGGCCCTCTGACAATTGTTTTCTGCTACATTTCACCCTTAATATTTTTTTCCCAAGGCTTTCAGAGTCCATGCTATCTTATATTACTAATATTGCTTTGAATGGATATTGAGTTGTTATGGCTTTGAAATGATAGGCACTTGGTGACCAACAGTTTATTTATGAAAGCAGAACAGAGTACGTTTACATTGAAATATTGTCAAATCCTTGATTTTAATTATTTAGTTTTAATAGTATTAGGAAACTCACAAATGGAATGCAACAATATCAAGCCATTTATTATAAGGATATGGGCATTCCTTAGGACATCTAATTGCAGGAATATGTCTAGGCCTCTAGTAGAATTAGAACTAGGAAATGGAAAAAGTAATCAGGGAAGAATATCAGCTCCTCTCCCTACCTTACTCCTCTCTCTCTCTTTCTGTCTTTCTCACTCTCTCTCCCTCCCTCCCTCCCCATCCCTGCTCCTCCCCCCCATCTCTCCCTCTCTCCTCTCTCTCCTTTTTCTTTTTCCTCTTCTTTTCTACATCTTCCTCCCTCTCTCCTCCCCTGTTCCTTCGTT